GAGCAGGCGCTGCGTAACGCCTTCCAAGGAAGGTACCCATAAGGGCCCTATCAAGCTACAACATACCGACCCGAACGCCCACCACGCCCGCCCGCCCACAAATGGACGACCGTTCCTGACGCTCGTATTGATTCATTTGCTAAGCAAATTATGAAGCGAAGGGATTGGTATGAAGCGGCTGCTGCATGGATATATGAGTACACATATGCAGCCGTATCTTCGGTAGCGGTTATTGGCAAGATGCCTACGGGAAACTCGTCCGAAATCGATTTTCAAGTCACTGAGAACGGAGGCTTTTTCTTCGCAGGATTTTGACCGTTTCACTCCGTTCTTTCGCCATTTTCCCCACTATACCAGTACCAAATTTTCTTGCCAACTGCCTTTAAGGCTTGGTCTTCAGTGCTTGACACCTATTTTTCCTAGTAGTCTCCCGGGGAAGGTATTAATGTTCACTTCCAGGTACCTGATGTACAAGCTCGAGAAGATCAAGAAAAGAAAATTGTCCTTGGACCACCAGTGAAGTGGAAAAAAGTCGTCAATTCTTCTGGACCATCTCCACGGTTAGTTATTACGGAAGCTTGAATTTTGAATATTCTTCATGTCTCCAATAAGTTTGATGCTTGCATTTTCGAATCCGACTGGCAAAATGTGTTGCGAAAAAAACAACTGGAGAGTTGTACAGATCTTAAAATCAGAGTCAGGCGTGACAAGGATTTGTTCGGGGTATCTGGTTCCCAATACCGATTACAATACTTTCCAGGCCTCGTCATGGGCATCGCGCTGTAGCCATCAAAGATCTTATGATTGTTTTCGGTGGTGGAAACGAGGGAATTGTTGATGAACTTCATGTTTTTAACACAAGTAAGTTGTCGTGTTGTGCTGTTCCTGAACCTCATTTGGAGATAAATGTCGAACATGGAAGTTTATTGTAGAAGGCTCCGGAGATCCAAGATTTGAGAGTTCTCGTTTTTTTTTCTTGAAAATTTCGGTGCTTATCAGGGAAGTCCGCCAACTTACCATGCTACTTTGAACGGAGACCTGGGTAGATTGATAGACGCAAATATAGATAGCAAAACTGCAAACTGCAACCTGCATTTCACAAGCAACTTATGAGCAGGTAAAGTTTGTAATGGTGCAGTAGGGTGGAGGCTTGGTGGTGAGCTGTGAAGCATAAGCGAGGAATCGCGTACGTCGAATCGAGTCGTCGAACGTAGAACTTTACCACTGAACCACCACGACTCGATTCGAATGCGATTCCTCGCTTATGCTTCACAGCTCACCACCAAGCCCCACCCTACTGCCCATTACAAACTTTACCTGCTCATAAGTTGCTTGTGAAACTTATGATCATCCTGGAGTACAGCAGTTGGAAAGGTAGACTATTATGCTTGAGACCGACTTGGACCCTGCTTTGTCTGCTATGGAGTAGCTACCCTTGCGGGAATCCTGTCTTGATGTACTGAGTTGGTATTTCAGGACGGGCTCTCGTAAGGGTAGCTGCTCCTTAGCAATGGAGGCAGGTTTAGGTCGATTGGAAGCAGCACAATTTGGTTTCTTGGTGCTGTACTCCAGGGCCCTGAGGAAGGTGCTGAGCACCAAAATGTTCGCAGAATGAAAACATGGGCAAGAACTTTTGAGTTATTCTGAAGCTTTAGCGTTTTTTTTTTGCAATGTTACTTTTTGTTGCCTCCCCAATTTTCACACCAAGTTTTGTTAGGAACGTTTTGGCCCTTACGTAACTCATATTCTTTTTTTTCAGCAACCAAGCAGTGGTTTGTTCCTTCCGTGAGAGGTGAGGTTCCAAGCGGGAGTGCAGCATATGGCATTGTATGCAATGGCACGCACATTTTCACGTTTGGAGGGATGGTGGAATATGGGCGGTACTGTAATTTTTTTGTGTTTCAAGGCTGTACTTCCCAACACGTAATTTTAAGGTATACAAATGACTTGTATGAATTACAAGCAGCACGATGGGAATGGCGGAAGCTGCGTCCACGTCCCCCTCGTTCTGGAGGATCCGGTCCTTGCCCTCGGCTTGGTCACTCGTTCTCTTTAGCAAGTAACCAGGTTGGCAATTTAATCCAATTTCAGCTGTGGAACATAGTGGTTAGTGTGAGCTATTATTATTCAAAAATTCAGGTTTGTTATGTGTTCGGAGGTCTAGCCAATGACTCACCTGATCCAAAACAGAACTCGTCGTTGTATCTTGATGATTTCTTTTCATTAGACATTCGCGGACCGGTAGGGTCACTCCAATGGGAACAACCTGTGGTGAGCTCACTTAATTTTCAGTTGTTCTCCTTTTGCATTACCGCACGCTATTATCACTTGTCTAGTATCATCATTATCATTAATGATATCATTTCATAGACATACGGTGTACGTCCATGCGCCAGGGAATCACATACGGCGGTTGTACTTGAAACAGACTCTCGTCGCCAACTAATCATATACGGTGGTATGAACGGATCGCGATTGAATGATGTTTGGATACTGGATATAGACTCCATGACATGGGACAGCCCTATGGTAAGTATTTTAATAATTGAACCATTTTCGATAGTATGGAGTTTAAGTTTCGAGCTGCGCTGACGATTTGGCCATTGTGCTTCGTTTATCTTTAAAGGCACGTTCCGCGATAAACTAAAGCTATATCCTCATAAATGTGTTAGGTGATCCGGTAGCCTGTTAGAGTTGCACTTCATTCAAAATTTGCACAAGTGGCACGCAGAAGCCCCAGTAAATTTCGATTTTAGGCCCAAGGAGGCCCATGCCGGCCTAACTTGTAAGTGTCATCGTACTAATGCCATTGTGCCCTCTCGCCCGTCAACTTCTGGTCTTTCTCCTCGCTGTGCAGAATATCGCCACCTTCTGCATATCACTGTTGATCTTGACCATCCTACTCTCGTCCGATGATCATGATCAAGTGCAAGGAGGAGGGTCATATTGAGGGCGGTTTTTCATACTTTTTTCTTCACTACTAAGTCAACTAGCACAATGCACTCCTGTTTTTGAACTCCGTTACCTACTATGTGCAGTCGCGGCAAGTGCCTTTAATATTTACCACAAACAATAGTTATTTTCGGGCGAAGGTGGTATTGTGGCAAGTGATGTCACTTACCACAGGGGCCAAGGATGAAAGACCCATTCCGCCATTATCCGATGGGTAAAATCTCTTCTTCGCATAGGTCTCCCGGTCCGCTTTCACTGGAGTTGTCCCGCTTTTAAGG